ATGCAAAGCTCCGTGGGAAATAAAAAAAAGGAGGGTTGACCGCGCGCGCTTGTTGTGTACTCTAGGTCCTGTCCCCTCCGTCTAAACCCGGTAGGAAACGGAAGCCGTAACCGAACGCGCAGAGAAATTTTCACACACCGCACCCACCCGCCCGTGTGATGCATTTCGGCTAGCTCCGCCTGAGTAACGCTATCCCATGAAGCACGCCTTGCTAACGATTCGCCTATAATCTGATTCTCACGCCTACTCGCCTCGTAGTTTCACAAAGACGAGGGGGCCCGAGTCGCCCGCCCGCGACCGGACTCCTAATCCTGAGCAGCACCCGTGGAAAAAAGAGTGAGAGCCTTTTGCATGCATGTGTCTGCAGTTGACTAGAGTACATGAACACGCCAGAGAACAATCCGATAGCCAGCATGACAAGTGTAGACGAATTCTTCCCGGCCAGGGCATAAATGGAAGGCTCTGGCAACTGCTTTTGTGTGCTTGAACTTTTCAGGACGATACGCCAAGCCTGCCTCGCACCCTCTTTCGGTCAATGTACTATGTTGCAAGATATGAGGAAATTTGTTATTACGGGTGTGCTTGCCGCAGCACATTCGCAAAGATGGATGTTTTTCAACACGTCGCGTCGCTTTGTTGCAGGCACCACTTCCATCACAAGGGTTGAATTACAATCATGCGAAAGTTTCTGTGTAAAGAAGGTCGTGAGCTTCTTGCTTTGCCCACCTGCAGCGCTGGCTCCAGGTTTAAAGAATGAGGTCACTTGTCGGTGCTGCGCTGTCAAAACTGCCCGGAATGAGTTTTCTCGTCGACACGTGCGATGGTACCCCATGTCATCTGGACCTGGAACACAACATTCAATTTCTGCAAATTCAATTGGATTCTGATCCGGGGCACCCGGAAGCTATTTCGTCGCATCTGGATCTGTTTTCGGTGCACAACGGTGATTTAGCGACTGTCACATTGGCCGGGGGAGTATTGGCGTTCGTTTCCGTACTGCTGTTGCTTCCTATCTTGGTGCGACAGTTGGGTGGATTGCCTGCCGAACATGCTCCAAGCAAGCATGACGAAGATGCAGCCCCACCGTTGGGATTGTTGCTTGTGACAGGTGCGCTATGCAGTGGTGCCGAGCACTCAGTTGTTTTGAGTTTTGTTCCGCCCGTGTTGCTTGCTGCTTAGGAAGAACATTTTCGGAGGCGAGGTGTGTAAGTTTAAGGGTAACTAGCATGACTCGTGTAGGTAGGCCGTGCAGGCATGTTGAGCACAGGCCCTTGTATATCCGACAAGAGGTCATGGCAAACATCACGTCAATACTGCTCACCGTGCAAACGGAAACAGAGCAGTTGACCACATCTGGCTATCTTCTGGCCAGCGAGTGTGTGGGAGCTGTGGCGGGCCTTCTGCTCTTCCGATCCTTTGGGCTGGCTCACCTGCGAATTGCCTACCAGCTCACAGCTGTAAGCATGATTGCAGGTAACGGGCTGTATGCTTGGGCCTCCATTCAGTTGAAAGGGCTGCCCGCATTATTCGTCAGCAGGATGATCACGGGCGTGGGGGCAGGAAGCATGTTGCTAGTTTAGTTTAGTTATTCACGTCATTATTTTCATCGATTTTTGTTTTTGCAAGACTTATGCTTCTTGTCACCTTGTTGTCATGCTGCGGTTTTAAAATCCGAGGTACAACTCGGCCATGGCGCTGGTACATTTCGCTCGGGGTCGACAGAAGACTCCGCACATGGTGTTGTACCAATTCTTCGTGGCCTTTGGTGTTGTGCTGGGCCCTGCGCTCGCATCAGTCAGCCTGATCTTACTGCCAGGAACCGAGACCAAAGATGCTTTGGCCAATTACATCATGGTGGTTTGGGGAGCAGGGCTCTGGCTAGCAGTGGTGATTGTGGTCCCCAGTGACATCACCACGCTCGAGTTCCAAGCCGGTCTCGCAAAGTCGGTTTTGGAGGATTCCGAGGCCACAGAGACGTCTGAGGAACCAGAGACATCGACTCGGAGTGGCACGAGCAATGGGCTGGCTTTGTTTCTTACCCTCATCAGCAGTGCCACGATCAGGATGGGTCAACGGAATCCTGTATGCAAAGTGTTTTGATGCTAGTTTTTTTCCGCCAAGTACATCTGTTAATGAAATGCAGCCGCGACACGAACACAGAGGACGGGTACTAACAGCAGGTAGGTGTGAGAGAGAGAGAAGGGAGTAGAGTAGTCATTCATCGCTATCGTGTTCTTGATTTTACTTGCTTGGAGTGGTCATGACAATAACCTGCCCAAGCCTGAGCACCGCAACACACCGTCTTGTTGAGCTGTGAGGCTACTTTGGGAGAGTGGCTCAGTCATTGCCGTGGAGCTTACATATGGCTGGTCCGCTTCCACTGCAGGTTTGGTGTGTGAAAGCAAGTGTAGTGTGCTCTTCGTTGCTGTGCATAGAACGTGCTGCGATGTGACTGGCTCATCAGGGGCCCCTTGAGTAGATGTTTGCTACGCAGATGCTGATAGCAGGAAAACAGATGGAGTGCGACTGCTGAGTGCAGATAGTGCACAGGAGACTGCCACCTGTTATCACAGGTGGTAGCGGAGCCACGTCTTTGTGGCTGAGAGATGCCGGTGGGTGCGCAGCCACCGAGCGAGCAGATCCAGGGCGAGAGCAGCCGCTGGAAGGACAGAGAGCCCCCACCTTCCTTTGATGGACGGAGCCCCGACAAGGAGTTTCCGCGTTGGTTGAAAGAGTTGGAGTTTTGGAAGTACGAGACTGAGATCCCCAAGGAGAAATGGGGTGTGAAGGTCTTCAGACAACTCCAAGGCTCTGCTAAGTCGGTCGCAGATGGCATGACGTTTGAAGAGCTGGCTTGCGATAAGGGACTGGAAAACCTGATGAAGGTTCTCAAAGAGCACTACGATCCCCATCTGCAGGTTTCCCTGCCAAAGGCCTTCGAAGAGGCGATCTACGGTGACATTCGCTCGGCAAAGGAGTCGTTCAGCGATTATGTCATCAGACTTGAACGCAACTTCAAGGAGCTGGAGAGGCAGGGAGTCAAGCTTCATGAATTAGTGGTTGGCTATGTGATGTTCAGGCATGCTAACCTTACCGATGTTCAGGAAGCTCAGATGTTGACCTGGGGCTCAGGGAAGGACGATCGGAAGACGGTGATCGAGAACTTACGCAAGCTGGACAAGGGCATCTTCGACGTCAAGCGGAGAAACCACGCGTACCTGCTGGATGGAGATGATGATCTTGGCGAAGAAGAAGCGGAAGGCCCCGAAGCCTTCCTTCAGCAGGGTGAAGATGAGGCGGAGTCGGACGGCGACGAGGACTACGTGTACATCGGCGAGGAGGACTTAAAGGATGTGTACGAGGAGGAGCACATCATGGAGGCCTTGGCTACATACCAGGACGTCAGGCGTTCCCTTCGTGAACAAAAGAACAGCCGAGGCTACTATCCCTCAGGAAAGGGATCTTCGTCCCCAAAGGGCTATGGCAAGGGCTCTGGAAAGGGCTCTGGCAAGGGCTACGACAAGGGTTACGACAAGGGCTACGGCAAGAACAGACCGATGCTGGACTTCCGCGGCAAAGGCAAGGGACAGATGAAGTTTGGGAAACATGGGACAAAGGTGCACATCGACTTACTCAAGCTGAGAACAAAGTGTGCAAGGTGCGGCGCAGTTGGCCATTGGGCTCGGGAATGCACGAACGCTCCAGATGAGAGAGGCCGCGCGTCGTTTCCCAAGTCTCCCTCGGCTTCGACATCGTCCCCCTCGACTAGGTCAGGCTTCTTTGTGGAGTCGAGTGGACATGCACAGACCGACGCGCTGCTCACCGAAAACGAGTCCGTGAGCTTTATGTCGTACTTGCCTACCTTCGGTAAGATACTTTCTTCGGTCCTCAACAAAGAGACGCTCGTGCAACCGCAACTGCTGGAACCTCAAAGTGAAGATCCCCCTCCAAGCTTTGTTGGCGTTTGCACCCGAGCCGGCGAAGGTATCGTCGACACGGCAGCCCAGGATGGGCTCATCGGCAAGGCTGCATTGTTGGAGCTTGCAAGTGTGTTGCGTGGATACGGATTGCAGATCAAGTGGAACACGAAGAAGCAAGCCCAAGCCAGCGGTGTTGGAGGAAAGGCAAAGGTCATCGGCATTGCAGAGATTCCTGTGGGTCTTGCTGGGGTAAATGGGCTGTTAGAGGCTACCGTGGTGCAAGAGAACATACCTCTACTTCTACCTATACGTATGCTCAAGCAGCTCAGGGCGGTGGTGGACCTCGACACCGATCGCCTCTGCCTCAAGGCCTATGGGGTTGAAACAGGAATGCATGCCGTACCTTCTGGACACATGGCGGTTTCTGTGACAGAGTTTGCGCCAGAGGGTTGGTCTTTGCCGAAAGCTGCTGAGAGTGAGCGCATGAAACATGAGCAGTTCGTCCTTGCGAGCAGTGGTTTTCTTCAGAGCATGTATCCTCTCGAGAAGAGCCCCGAGCGCCGAGTGCAATTCGAAGTCGGTGAGGAAGATGGCTCAGCTGCTGTTGCATCGGATGATGGATCAACGAAGCCGGGACGGACCGACTCGTCCCGGAGGGATGCCAGCAGGAGTCCTCAGGAGTCGTCGTGCCATAGCACGTTGGAGGATTCTCGGCGACAAGATGATCGACCTCATGGGTCTGGTAAGCATGCGGGAAGGAGTGTTCGCTTGGCTACCAGATGGCTCGCAGCGGCTGTTGGGGTTGGTGCCCTCACAGGACGCCCCCTCGACTTCGGCCCTGTCTCCTTCTACGACAAGGGCCTCAGACAAGCAGCTGGAGTACGCGAAGATTATCAAAGTCTCCACGTTCCTTGGGACTCGCAAAACCAAGGACCCTCCCCTCAAGAGCCGAGAGATGTGCGAACATCCTACTACCGAGCTGAAGGGTGGTGGAAACCAGTATACGAGGGAAGTGTGGTGCAATGTTTGCAAGAGCCGCTGGGAGTACCTCAGCCCGGACAAGCTCAACGAGAAGATCAAGGAGCTCGAGAAGTCCAAGAGCAAGCCCAGCACTCCGAGAATGTCGGCAGGATCAATGGACCAGGGTCAAGCCTCAAGGACCCCGCAGGTGCTATGCCAGTGCGGAAATGTGACAGCACGCTGGGAAGTGAAGAAGGCCGGGCCAACGCAGGGACGTCACTTTCACCGATGCCGGGACCGAGTGTGCGAGTTCTTTCAGTGGGACCAGAGCGAGCAGAAGATCCTGAAGTCCAGATTGGCGAGCACCATGGACGAGATGATGGAGATCGAGGAGCCGGATGGTGCGATTCCGGACCCCCTGGAGGAGCTACAGGCCAAGACTCAGGCCCAACTTGCGAGCCAGGCCCGAGTGCACCACGAGGAAGTGAGCGAACTCAAGGTGCAGCTGGCGTGGATGCAAAGCTACCTGAGTCAGTTTCAGGGTCAGGCTCCAGTCGCACACATGGATGGCTTTCAGATGGTCAACGAGCTTTGAGTGTTAGTGGACTTCCGGAGTATGTGCGTCCGGACAACAGCTGCCTTCTATGGAGTGATGAGCAGTTGGTACATGCAAGAAAGTTACAAATGCGGGCATTTTGCTTGCATTCCTCGACCCCATGGACTATGCCCCTGAACCGCGTCTACTACATGTATGATACTACGGCTAATAGCTGGCTGGAGTGTGAAGGCTGGCTTCCCAAGAGAGCATGTGGCAGGTTCATGTTGGCTGTGTTTGTCGATGATGAGAGCATGAATGTGTGGAGTGAGGAGTCGGGTAAGATCAAGGCCCTCTCTGCGGGAGAGCGCAAGCGGACCTCTCAGAACATCAATCTCCTCATGAAGGGCATGTCCACACTACAACACAGCCCGGTTGTCGAGGCAGTATCACCTTATGGAATTCACAAGTTTGTTGAGTGTGATCAGGCGATGGCCATTTTGGAGCCGCCTGGAAAGCAGCAGTTTTGGGTGCAGCTGAGAGACAAAGGCCCCCGTTGCTTGATACTACAGCCGGATCGTGATGAAGCCAGCTTGCAGTTGTCAACGGATGCAGCGGAGTGGCAGAGTGCGCAAGGAGGTGTCTTTGTAGTTCTGTGTGATGAAGATGATGAGAGTTACTGTCGCCAAGGACTGAGTGACCAAGATGAAGTGTTCGCAGTGAAGATGGAGGGTCGCTATGTGATTCTCAGCAACCATGCAGGACTTCCAGGTCGATTGAAAGATATGGCTGGGAGCGGTTTGAAGTTTCGCCTTGAGGACACCTACGATCTTCCACAGAATCCAAAGGCGCACCTTGGGGACACCAACGATCTTCAACAGAATCCAGAGGCGCACCTTGAGGACACCAACGATCTTCAACAGAATCCAGAGGCGCACTCTCACAACGAGAGCTTCATGTTTGATGACTATGAGAATATCCCTGAGGACACCGACGATCTTCGACAGAATCCAGAGGCGCACCGGTCGTTTATTTTTGATGTGTGTCAGGAGCACGACTGGTCCCTTAAAACAGATGTGTGTCAGGAGCACGACTGGTCCAAAGGACATTGTTCAGGAAGCAAGTCCTTTCTCACGCTTGGTCAAGTCAATGTGTTGGAGTTCAGAGCAGAACGTCTTTTACGAGAGCGAGACTTTTCTTTCATGTCCATGGAGAAACTGTGCGAGACTCTTCAGTTCAAACAGGCATCGTCCAGGCAGAGTGTGGAGAATGGATCGTACCTCTCTCTTGGCCTCTATGCCCACGGCAAAAGCAATGGAGTCACGAATTTGGCCAAGAAGCTTCCCAAGTTTACTGAGTACGTCAATCGGGTGTTGAAGTACCAATGCAAGTGTGCTGGGATTTCACGGCCTACCTGGACGTCGGTCGCAATTGGGCTGAATGCAGGCAGTCTTCCACACAAAGACAACCACAACAAGCGTCTTACAAAAAACTATATCTTCTCCGTTGGAAGACACCAAGGCGGAGGATTGTGGACGCAGACATCCTCTACTACCAACAGGTGCACGTGGAGAACTATGCCAAATGGATCTACAATGGCTGGTGAGGTGCACGACATTCACTACAAGGCTACCGAGTTTGATCCTCGGGCGTGGCATGCTTCAATGCCCTGGACAGGCACCAGGTTTGTGATCAGTGCCTTCACTTCCCGAGCGGTCGATGTGGTCGACACCAGGGACTCGAAGCTCCTCCGGAAGATGGGCTTCATGCTGCCCCAGGATGCCTTCGTCTACATGTTTGACGGCACAGTGCAGTGTGGAACCGGACAGTTCAACCAGGTGTATGTGGAGGAGGATGAGCAACGGTTTGAGCCGGTGACGGAAGACCAACAGGACGTTGAGGACTCTCGAGATGCGCATGTGGATGATGACTTGGACCCAACGGCTGAAGAGAAGAGGCTGATCAAGAAGCTTCATGAGAACCTTGGCCATCCTAGGCCATTGGACATGGCCAGATCGTTGCGCTTGGCACATGCAAAGCCTCATCTCGTGAGGTATGTGGCAAAGCGACTCAGTTGCGCTACCTGCGAGGCAAAGCCTCGACCAAAGCCGGCGAGACCGGCAATTCTTCCCAAATCCTACGAGCCGGGCAAGGTTGTGGGAGTGGATGTGGTCTTTCTTCAAGGACTGGACCCCAGACAGAGCTTTCCGGCCCTTTCAATGGTGGATTGGGGCACCGGTTACCAAATGGTGGAGCGACTTCGGAGCACGGAGTCGGACCACACCTGGAGGACCTTTATGAGGACGTGGGCCAGGGTGTTCGGTGTTCCTGACATCATTGTTGCAGACTTGGGTTCCGAGTTCAGAGGACAGTTCTCAGAACTTGCTGGACAAGCAGGTGCTTTGATTCGGCATACGGCAGCCAGGTCACCATGGCAAGCTGGGAAGACTGAGAGAGCCGGAGCCCACTTCAAGCACATCTATGAGCGTGCCAGAGAATCCACCCACATCAGCTCTTGGGAAGAAGTCAAGACGCTTCTTTATGAAGTCGAGAGCGCAAAGAACAGATATGGAAACAGGAGTGGTTTTTCTCCAATGCAGAGGCAGATTGGACACAATCTTCGACTGCCAGGGTCTCTACTTTCAGACGATCATTTGGATCCTCAGCTGGTTGTCCAAGGAGCAGGAGATGAGATGAGAAAGATGTTGGAGATTCGCAAATGTGCTCAAGAGGCCTACATCAAGTCTCAGACCGAGGTGGCTCTGTCGAAGGCGAAGAATGCGAGAAGCAGAATTCCGGTGGACTTCAATGCAGGCGAAACGGTGTATGTCTTTCGTCAACCTCGAGAAAGGAAGCGACGACATATGATGACGCCGGAGGCCCACGAATCAAGGAAGCCTACTTGGGTAGGACCAGGTTTGGTGCTAGCAGTGGAAAAGCCAAGCTTGTGGGTTTCGATGAAAGGCGAACTTTGGAAAGTCAGTTTTGAGCAGTGCCGTCATGCCACAAGCGAAGAGCAAATCGCAAAAGAACTACTGGCTGGCGAACTGGAAGCTCTACGTGAAGAACTAGGTCGCTCGGCTACTAAGAGAACTTTCAGAGACATGACGGGCGAGGGCATTCCAGGAGATGAAGATGATCATGTTGGAGAACCAGCAGGCCTCGAACCCCCAGCTCAACGACCACGGCTTCGGCAAGCCTCTGAAGTACCGGTACCGGATGATCCAGAGGAGCTAGAGTATGCTCCATCAGAACCTGATGTACAACAAGCACCTCAACTTGATGTACCACAACCACAGAATGAAGATCTTCCAGGACCACAGCAAGAGGCCGAAAGGCAGCGAACCGAGTCTGAACCAGAGCCTCTACCCACACCTAGATTGACTCCGGAAACTACAAGGACAGTGCTGCGCAACGAGATGTTGGATGGGAACTTTCCGGGTTCTCCTTCTTACGAAGCAGTTCGGCGACTTTCTGCACATCGACCTCACAACGAGCCCTACTTCACCGTGACCCAAGAAAAGGGAGTTCATGAATGGTACTGTTTTGAAGAAGGAAAGTGGAGACGGGAACAGGATGAATGGGAGTTCATCAACCCCAATGTGGTGGTTCGTCGACACCGACTTCCTCGGGATCACCTCTGCAACCCCTCCAAGATCAAAGGAACGCTGATGCCCAGAAGGCTCAAGGTTCGACAGACCTTTATGGTCATGGAGGACGGGACTATCGACAAAAGCAAGGACTTCTGGTTCAAGCAGAGGAAAACCAAGACGGCCACGAGCAAACCATGGACAGGCTTTACCGTTTTCTCCAACAAGGAAGTTGACCTTGAGAGCTTCATGGTTGGGAAGGCTCGAGGACAAGGCGAGGTGTACGAGCACGAGATAAAACCGGAGGAATGGCCGGAATGGAGAAAGACGGACAAAGGCGAATGGGACAAAGTCGAGAGCACGGGCGCAATCAAAGTGTTGAGTCTGGAGGAGTCAAGAAGGATTCGTAACAGCGAGGAGCGCCATAGAATCATTCCGAGCAGGATGGTTCGACGGTGGAAACCTGCGGAGCAACCAGGTCAACCTCCGACCAGAAAGAGCAGATGGTGCTTGAGGGGAGACAAAGATCCAGATCTTCTGGAGCTAGATCGACATGCCCCCACTCTCAACACCACGTCGTTTGGAGTGCTGCTTCAAATAGCATCGTCTATGAAATACCCCGCTGCGGTTGGAGACCTCAAGAATGCCTTCTGTCAGAGCATGCCCCTACTACGTCGGCAAGGCAGGTTGTATGCTTCCCTTCCTAAGAGCGGCATTGATGGACTTCATGAAGAGCAGTTGGTTGAAATCATTGCCGGAGTCTACGGACTAGGGGACTCTCCTCAACACTGGCGCAAGACGCTGCGTGAGGCGATTTTAGCTTTGGGCTACCGTGAATCTCTTCTAGATCCTACCGTCTACTATTTGCAGACGCAGGAGATCCTCGACGGTGCGATTGCAGTGGAAGTGGACGACTTGTTCACGTTTGGGAATACGGTGCATCAAGACCGTATGAAACAGCTCCAGGAGAAGTTCCAGTTTGGGAAATATGAGGATGTGATGAAGTGTCCAGAAGGAGTGGGATTTAACGGTCGCAGAATCCACCAACTCCCAAACTACGAGTTTGAGATCGACATGTTTAAGTTCGTTGAGGAAAGACTGAGTCCGGTGCAGCTCAGCAAGGGCAGAAAAGCCAATGCCAAAATGCTCGCGAACGACAGCGAAGTGAACCAGATGAGAGCGGTGGTTGGTGCGCTGAACTGGCTAGCAAAGGAAGGAAGACCAGATGCTGCAGCCGCCGCATCCCTGGGAGCCAGTACCTTCCCAAAGCCTACGGTGCAGGACGTGATCGACGTGAATCGAGCAGTGTCTATGTTGAAAGAACGTCCAGAGCTAAAAATCCGGATCCGCGGGATTCTACCGGAGAAACTCTCATGGGGAGTTGTCTCAGATGCGAGCTTCGCCAACGCCTACGCGGGACACAGCCAGGGCGCATACGCCATCTTGGCCTTTGACGACAGCCTCAAGGATGGTTACCGAGTTCCATGCTCATTGATTTCCTGGAGGAGCGGACGTATCCAAAAGGTTGTCAATTCTACTTTGGCAGCAGAAACGCAGAGTTTGAGCAAAGGACTAGGTGAGCTGTGCTGGGTGGCATCACTCTACAACGAGCTCATGGACGTCAACTTTAAGTTGTCCGAATGGGAGCAACGGCTTCAAGGGAACAGGGTTATCACCATGGCCCCAGAAGACTCCAGCGAGGAGCTCAAAGGAAGCCTATGCATTGTGGATGCCAAGGCGCTCTATGATCACCTCTCCAAAGAGACTGCTGGTCCATCAGCAGACAAGAGGACTGGTCTGGAAATTCAGGTCATCAGACAGAGCATGAGTGCTATCAACAGTGAAGTTCGATGGGTGCCTCACCCCCGCATGGTGGTGGACGGCTTGACTAAGAAGGGAGCCAACATGAACGCTCTGTATGACTTGTTGGACACTGGAGAGTACCAGATCGTCGACGAGGCCCAGGCTATGGAAGAGAAGAAGCTTGAGCGTGAGCACCGAGGCTACAATAAACGCTAGCAGCAACGAACGAAGTTCGGGGAGCTGTGAAAGCAAGTGTAGTGTGCTCTTCGTTGCTGTGCATAGAACGTGCTGCGATGTGACTGGCTCATCAGGGGCCCCTTGAGTAGATGTTTGCTACGCAGATGCTGATAGCAGGAAAACAGATGGAGTGCGACTGCTGAGTGCAGATAGTGCACAGGAGACTGCCACCTGTTATCACATGGTGTTCATTGTGGTCGTAGTCTGCGCAATATCTTTTCTCGCAGCATGTGGCAGGCAAATATCCAGATGCGGTGTTGCTACGCGGACTGGAAATTGCGCAGCTAGTTGGTGTCTTGCTCATGTTTCAACCTTGGCAGCTTCCCGTTTCCTTGAGTGTACTGCAGTTTATGATGGCATCCGTGCTCGCCTACTCTTCGAATGCAATTTGGTCCGGCGTGCTCACTTCATTCTGTGTAAAGCGATCACTGGCAAATTCGTTCTTCAGCTCAGAAAATCTTATGCTTCTGAATCAAGCAGCGATTTTCCTTGGGATAGCTGCCGGGAGCACAATCAGCAGAGCGAGTCAGGAAGTGGTGCAGGGCGGACCAGCATTATCGAGTATGAACACTTTGGCTGTCACACTCCTCGTTGGAGCTCTGCTTCAGCTCAACCTGTCACTGATTACAATCAGCGAAATTTCTCTGGATTTTTTTGTTAGCATAGTGAGCCTGGGCCTGGGAACCGTGATTCCAGTTGCCGCCCTGATGCCTGCATGGGGAGGTACAGGTCCGTCTCATGTTTTTACCTGGCACATCGTCTGCATGGCCATAGCATGGCCTTGTCTTTCCGTGCTGGGTTATTGGAGCTACAAAGCTGATGTGATGGGTGGAAGCAGCAAGAACGATCGGCGAGCCATCCACATGTTTTGTATGCTTGGAGTTGGCATTCTTTCAATTGCAGGATACGCTTGTCTTTTCGAAGCCCACAGGGAGAATGGAGAGGGTCAGTTCGGGGGCCTCATGGTCGAAGGCAACAAGTTGACATTGAAGCGAGGTCTGGGCCGCTTCATCCATGTTGCGATCGGCTACCTGGTTGTTCTGGGAGTGTTGCTGCAAGCTTTCATGGGCCTTTGGAAGCGGCACGTCCTTCTCAAGTATGATTTGAAGGCCGTCACTTGGCACGGCGCGCTTGGGCGGGCTAGTTTCGACTTGCATTGGTGTTTGCCTTGATATCAATGGGAAGGGTGGCTTTCCTCTGGCACTGAAGCTTGGCATCTCTGCAACTTTGCCTTGCCTTGGTGCGCTTGCCTTCTTCCAGACCCCTGCAACTTGAGGGCCCACAGTGCGCAGAAGAACTGCGCGGGCGGATTTCACTTACGCACCTCTTGGTGCTTGTACGCTTCGGTGTCTGGGGCAAAACTTCGACCCTTCGTCGCTGTGCAAAGCTTGCTCCGGTCATTCGGCTGTTCTGGCCAGGCCTACCAGCTGCTGTTTCCACAATATAGTTTCATGTGCCAAGATGCCAGTGCCTGTCTGCTGCTGCACGACGAAGAACAGCGCAGTTACATGGTGACTTTAAAACATGGTTTATAATGAGTCTTCAACGAGATGTTTGTCACGAAGCAGCTGTCATGGAGAGAAGACACGAGCACAGTCACAGCAGCACTCTTGCAATAGTCCGTGACATTTTGGAGAGTGCGCTCGCTTGTGTCACGCCATGGCGAAGGATGTCAGGAGACAGCGTTTCCTCAGCTTTGTCTGGAGAGGGAAGTTGTGACGTCCGGAGGAACCCTGAGTTCTGGAACAAGTTCATGCAGCGGCCGGAGGCCATCGGGGGAGGGTTCAGGGTGCAGGCCGTCTCATCCTTGCTGGTTTGCAGGTGCAGGCCGCCATGCGGTCCAAGCTGAAGTACGAAAGCGCTGCAGAGGTGAGGCGCTCCGGTCGGCGCGTCCGTGATCACAGCTCCAGCAGGCCGCTCAGCGAACGAAGCTGGACAAGCTTGAGCGAAAGCAGCGCAGGCCTGGAGGAGGACTGGGCCTTCTCAAGGCGTCAACTTTTTCGGTCTCCTTGAGGTACGAGATCATGAACGAATTGATGAAGTGTGCAACCAATGTCAAGCACCTGATCTCGCCGATGTTCCGGTGTCTCGTCGAGCACGTTTGCGATGGTGCAGACTGAATCTGTGCAGCTTTCCGCTGAAGCCTGACTTGAACCCAGGTATAAGATCACACAGCAGTACCTATGGAAGGCAGGGACCGTCAGAATTTCCATCTTGGAAGGGCACATCCCCATGCCGATGAGACTGAGGGTCTAGCCGTCCCGTGCTGAAAGGTGCTTTGCGAAGCTCGCAAGGAAGGCTTGCTCTTCTGCGACAAGCTTCGGCCGGGAACTTGGCTTTCGTGCCTATCAGAGACTCGTTGTTCTTGGTTCTTTCATGCTTGCCGCTCTTTCAGAAGAGCCCGTTGCTGAAGGCAGCCGCAAGTCTACCATAGGCTTCAAGCCATCAAGGCAATCTGATGCCGAACGCACTTGCCTCACTTCGCACGCCTCGTGTAGTTCAGGCCGAGATCACTGCCGGTCCTTACGGCGTTGCCGGCTGGCAGGCGGAAGAAGAGGCCAGCGCTATGGCATAGTCGCCCCAACACAGCAGAGGAGTGTAGTCATAAGTCATGAAGCAGGTGGAAGAGGACCTGATGGACAAGATGGTCGTCGAAGCTGACTGTATTCCAGGTGGCATTGACGGTGAGGTGCCTGCATGCCTACTGCTTCAAAACTAGGAGGGGAAGACATTTCTGGTCCTAGTCCTTTCCAGCACATGCATCAGGCGCCAGACAGGAAGCAGGTTTTGGACAGACGCGAGATTCAGGCAGAAGCCCGTTTCCGGTGAGCGCAGCGGGCATGTGAAGACGGCAGGGAGTCCTTGACTTCGGGCAGCGGATCAAGTCAGAAGGGAATGAGGCGCCACTTATCATGGCAGTCCTAGAACGTGTGTCGGTGTCTGTGGGTATCGTGTTGTAGCCAAAGATTTAGCTGCCCGTCCTGCATGTCTGAGGCCTTCATGAACGAGAACTGGGAAGGGGCTCTGACACGGTGCCTGGATTCTGAGCTGAGCTAAGTCAAGACAGCTTTGCTTGGACATAGGTACTGCCAGGGAGATGAGATGCTGAAGAACTTCGCTGCTGAGCCACACCTCGACAAGGAAAACAAGGCACTCTTCGGGTTGATCGTTCCAAACTTGAGCCAAAATCTCAAGAACAGTCTCGAGCATGAAGCCAGAAGCAGTCTAGACTGAGCTGCGACAGGAGCTGAAGACCATGCACCGCCAGTGCTTGAACAACAAGGCTCCACTGAAATGTTTCGTGCCGGCTGACGCTGCCCACGGCGCATTGGTGTCGTAGGCCAATGCAGCCCTGATGGTAGATCAGTGGCAGACGGCTTTGCGGGCGTGCAGACCTGAGCTCAAACAGTCTTGCTTGGCGCCGGGGCACCGCACCTTTCTGGAAGGGCAGATTCTGCCCTCAAGCTGAAGATGGATGACGAGAAGGTTGCCGCTCGAGGGACACTGTCGGAGTCAACTCTTCGAAGTCTGTTCCTGGTCGGGGTTGCTTCCATGGAGCTGGCGTTGGAATTGTGACTTCTTGGGCTTTGCCAAAGCACAACCTCTTTCTTGTCTGTTGATTGCCACGGTGGTTGCATGCAGAGCTCGTGGAGAGGCATTGTTTCGAAAAGCGCAAGCTCTCGAGGGCTGCTGCCTTGGGTTGTTGCTGCGGATCCATGCACATGCCGCTTAGCCTGGCAGTGCATTCCTTGAGGTCTTGGTCGAACAGAGGAGGACCGGTTCTCGCAGCGTCACAGCTAGCAAGGGCCAAACGGCAGAGAAGCATGACATTCATCAGGCACTGGAGGTGCTGAACGAAGTGGAAGAGATTGCTGGTGACATGGACGAGGCCGCCACTGGATCCGCTGCTTCGATACCCATCAGATGCAGTCAGGAGTTCAAGGAACAGATCCTCGATGATGTGCGCGAGCGAAAGGAGGCGGTTCTTTGACCCCATGTACAGCAGCGCTGTGGAGTGAAGGTTCTGATGCGCAACTTGCAGTGACATGCAGTATGCAATGAGAGTCTGTCAGGAACTCAAGGCAATCGAGCGAAAAGCAGCGAAGGACTTCAACAGCATGTTCAAGGCCATGGGTGACAAGCAGGCCGATTGGGAAGTTTGTCAGTTGCGATGACGGCTTGGCTTGCTTGTCTCACTGCCTGTTTGCCTGTTTGACTGTCGATTCTCGCTTGTCCGCCCTCTCACACTCTCCCTCTCCCCGTCTTTCACTCTCTCGCTTCCTCACTCACCCACCTACCCGTGTTCGCGTTTCTGTCTTGCCTCTAATGCTCCTTTCGTTCTCTCGCTGTCTCTACACAGCCACTGCGATCCTTTGCCATTTTTGTCTCTGCCGCGTAATCGAAGTCGCTACCTCGGTGGGAGGTATTTGGCAGTGGACGCTTCCTCGCGGATGGCACCTCTCCGCCACCAGCTCTCACAGGCACGGTCTCGAACTGTCATTTTTGCTTGGTTTAGGGCCGTTTAGGGTTCAGAATCCAGGCTTAGGAGTGTTTTTGTTATGTGGCTCTTAGTTGGGCCGACTTGTCGCGGAAGGACGGAAGGCGGCAACGCGTAACTGGGGCCTTACAGGTTCGCTTCCGAACGGCCTCGGGGCTCGGAGTTGGTCCCTGGTCTAGGGGGTTCGGACCCCATCATCTCGCTGATCGATGCCTGTTCTCGTATTCAGCATACTACCCACCAATCCTGCATCTAACGTGCAAGTTGGGGCGTGTTATCGTCTTGGAGGCAATGGGATCAGCTCCAAGTTGGCTCCAAGCCCTTCAACTAATCCCTGCAAGTCCTCTGCAAGTCGTTCAGCAGCAAATGCCGAACGCGAGCAATGTGATTTTTCTGAAGGTTGCCGAATCGCTTGGGAGCTGTTGTTTAATTCTGATCGGTTGGTTGTGCCAAAACAAGGAGTTCTGAATTAGAATGCTGGTAGCCAACTCTCGAAAGGCATGTTAGACTCACCGGCAGCTCAGTAAGAGTTACTGTTGGTATCAGGCGCAGAAGAACGGAAATTGAAGCGCATCAAGGCGGGTTGACGTGTGCCTTCTCCTGAGCTGGCTTATGCTCGTCAAGGCCACTCAGACGTCTGTGCAGGAGCAAGAAGAGTACAGGACCGCGAAGGCCAAATACGAGCTGGAGCAGAGGAGGAAGGTTGAGATCTGAGTTAGATGCTTTAGATTGACATTGCGTGGCACATGCTAGGCTATAGCTGCTATGCGTCCCTGCGAGATGCAACTTGTGGCTGCAAGCAGACAGACATCTGCGGTAGCATATTCCGGACAAACATGTAGCCGGTGTAGCTGCCCTCCATGTCGCCAGAAGCCCACCGGAAGGGCGGGGATGGCTGGGCTACTGCTCTCGGCAGGGCTTTTCGTGCCTCGCAAGTCCAAGTCGGGGACCCTTGCCGTACCGCGCGTCCACTGTCGTCGGCGTGTCTTTTCAGGCGGAGCAGGGTTGCGGCAAAGGCTGGCTCGAGGAAACGGCTTGCCCGAGCTCCAGCTTTACAGTGTTCACGATGATCCTGAGCTAGCAGCTGACATTTTCCGCGATGTGGGCTTCGTGCTGATACCTGGTGCGGTGAGCGACCAGCACTGCTCTGAGCTGCTGGCGGGATGTCAATCGGAGGAAGCTGAGATTCTGCACAGAGACCCTGCCGGTGTTGGTAATCGTGGGCACGGTCGATACTCCCTGGGTGAGGCGCACTTGCTACTCATGTCCGCGCTATGCGCCTGGGACTGCATAGGTGTAGGAAATGATAAAACGTGGTGCGGCTTTGGAGGCTCAGAGCACTGGCCATCTCCTGCATCGTGCGGAGTGGGCGTCCTTGGTGGACCTTGAGAAGGCCCAGCAGAGCCGGTGTGGCTGCGCTTTGCATTCAGATCCTTAAGCTTGTGCGGTTCCTCTGCAGGTCACTCCAGTCTTGCAGAGGATCTTTGGCAAGTCCGGCTACGTCTGTGCAGGTGCCGGTGGGGATTTCGTGCTTCCGAACACATACGAGTACCAACCGCTGCATGTGGATCTGGACTTTCCGGGTTGTCAGAAGCAGTCAGCTTCGCCGGTGGTAACCTTGAACGTACCATTGCTGCCGCTGACCTGGGAGAACGGTCCAACGAAGCCAAGCTGTCTTCAGCATCTGCTTTTGCCCTTTGGGAAGCTTTCGGTGGGGAGAGATGGGAGAGCCGAAAGAAGCAGGGAAGTGTCTTGGGCAGAGGCGCTTCATCCCTGGCACGCACCTCCCTGCTTCCTGGCAACCGCCTCCGCCAGCCTTGGAGCCGGAGGCCTGGAAACTCTTCACCTTCTGTCCCATCGCCGCAGGCCAGGCGGCACGGGGCCAGGGCGGCCACGCCTCTTCTCATGTCCTCTGTTCTTGAGCAGGCACCGCCATCCTGCGTGACAACCGGGCCTGGCACGGAGGAACTCCCAACCTGTGTGCTTCCCAGACGCGGCCCCATCAAGAGGACATGAAAGTGCTGCAGATATGCAGTGAGTCTGAGGTCTCAGACAAGCCGGTTCCTGCCAAACGTCGAGTTTGCGGCTACTTGGTGGTGCGTCGGATCGACCGACGAGCTGTGGCGGAATCCTTGGAAGCTTGCTCCACGCTGCATGCCCAGAGGCATCTATGAGAGGCCCACTCGCGTGTTGCAGCTTTGACTGTTTGATGATCGCTTTTCTCTGAAAAGCTTGGCAGGCTGTCGCCCTTCGCCAAGCATGTTTGCAGGTGCCAAATGCATACAAACGCAAGCGTTCATGTCACGTGCAGTGCAGAAACGAAACTTCGCCCCTTCATGGTGCTCCCTGCAGGCTGGTGGTCACGGACGACCCCTCGCTGACGTACGGTGTGCGTGATGCATTCACGCAACCTCATGCCTAGGCTCATTCCTGGAATATGCTTGAGCGACACCTTGTCGGGACTTGACGCTGGCAGCAGAAGCACCATTGAGCTGTTTGGGTGTCCTGCGCATGTGTGGGGGCTTCCAGTACATCCCGGCACGGTTCGTTGGCTCATGGACGTTCTGGACGACACCGACTGCTTCCCAGTGTGACCTGCTGGACCATGCTGGACCCGCTGGCTTGCCGTGACGCAGACTGAGCTTCAGACCCAGCACTCGGATAGCGGATGGTCGTGATTGGCTGGATTGAACTCTCCTGCGATGGCCCCCGCAAGTCCGCGTGCATGAGAAAATGATGCATCGACGGCTCCGTGACTGTGCAGCTTGTCCCCTCGAGAGTCCCGAAGCCCCCGGGCCAAGGAAGGCAAGCCCATCATCGACCAGCCGAAGGAGCCCGAGATGCCCACCCCCAACAGGTGGATTCGGGAGCAGGGCGCAAGTGCAGTGGGACTCCGTGAAATTGGGTGACGAGGGTCACTTTGGGAGAATTGCGAGGCCACCTTTTGGATACCGGTCAGCGGATCGGACAAGGAGCGGAATCCGGCCGTCCCGCAGTCAGAGCTTTGAGCTCACTAACTGTCAAGCTGCAGGACCCTCACCAAGGCGCAAGCGGAGCAGCTTCTGGAGGACTCTGTGCTCCAGCAGTCTGGACTGTCCACAGAATCGTGGAGTGCAGGTGTGTGCTTGGAAGTTCTGGTGTGCACATGAACGTGCTGTCGCTGAAGCGGGCTCTGCTTGTTTCCTGACCTTTACAAGATTCTACAATTCTGCCAGTTCGTGATGTCGTGACAGTCCTGCAGAATAGTCTCCTGAAGCAGACCAGGCAAGTTGGTAGACCACGGTCTAGAGATGTCTAGAGTCTAGTCCAGTCTAGCCTAGTCGAGTTTATTGTAGTGTAGAAATACTCATATCATATCTAGCGCCGGATTCCAATGGCGCCGACCGGCATCTGGGCATGCAGCGAGAACATTGTTTGCTGCACACTTTTCCAGTTTTTTACTCAACCGAGGAATTGCTGTTCAGGTCGTAGTTTTGTCGTATTGAAGTCATGCCTTCTGTGAGCTAACACATTTGGTAGTTCTGCATGTTCAGGTGACGACGTCGTCTTTCAGTATGGTGCAGGTCCTCCGATCTAAACTCAGCAGCAAACCCATGCTTGGAAGCACACCGCGGCATCACGTGTCGACATTGTAGGAGCCTCAGTCGCCTGTGTAGGGAACAGTGCTGCCAGGTGGCAGAGGCAAAGGCTTCGGCAAAGACGGCCGTCGCCTGATGAGCCAGCCGAGAGGCATCCACGTGGACAGCGTGCAGGTCTCAGAGCGCCGGAGCGCTGCCATGCGATCCGTGAACTCCGAAGCTTTCTGCGCAGAGGATGGCTCCCTGTATGTGGCGGACTTTACGAGCTTCTGCGTCTTCAGATTTGCGGCAAACGACAGTCGTGGTCACGTTGTCGCGGGGGAAGATGGGAAGCAGCTGATGGATGTGGACTACCTGAAGGACATTGTGGAGCCCTCACAGAAAGGTGAAGCCTTGCTTGGTAGGGAAATCGAGAGCTTGACGCGCATCGCTTTGCAGGATATCGACCGGCCATTAGCGTCTCCAGAGGGGGAAGGCTTCCTGCTGAAAAATCCCATCGACGTAGTCTCCAGCCCGAGCCTGGCCTGCACTTGTAGTGTAGATTCAGGACAGAACGCGGAGCTGCGCTGATCTCGGCTGAAGCTCAGGGATGGTCTCCTGGTGCTGGACTGTGCGGCGGCCCGTGTGCAATCCTTTCAGCCTGGTCCTGGAGGCACAGACGCTCCGGCCTGAATCAAGCGCCCAAAACCAGTGCACCAAACCTATACACCAGTGTAGCATGATCACCGAAACATGAGCCACGAGCTCCGTAACTCTGCGTCTGCTCCAGGCCAATCCGCTGCCGGACGTGTAAGAGTCCCCCCCTCGACAGCTCTTCCGGCCGCTACGACTGGCAATAAAGACCCGAATCGACGTCGCATCTTTCACCAAAGTCAAAGCCCTGTGTGGCCTCAGGCGAAGTCGGTGGCAGCACCTGAAGCGCTCAAGTCACCCACTCAGCGCGAAGAGCGAAGCAACATGTGTTAAGCTTACAGCCACTGCAGATGCGGTGAACCGGATGCTCAGCGAATTCTTGAGCACTTTGAGGCATCCGCGTGCTATTTTCCTCGAAGACGACGGCATTGTGGTGTGTGACACCTGGAGCTGCTCGGAATATGATGTAGCCGCTAGCCGGGCTAGCCACACCTGCCTTCAACAGCAGGCAAGCCTAGCATGGAAAGCATGCAAGCAGTGGCGAAGTCTTCCATGCTCTTTGTGAGGCCACCGTGTGCTGCGGTACCGGACTGCGGCTTCCGCGCCCGAGGTGCTCGCGGGAACACCCAACTCTTGTGGCTCGGTCGATCTGGCATCGGAGGGAGACTGGGCTTGTCTCATGCGGCAGAGCGGGTTCTGCCAGGTGGTGGCGAACCTGGGAAGCTGAACTTTCCAAGCTGCATTGCCTTCTGCGCAGACGGATCGTTGTTGGCAGCTCTGCTCAGCTTATGTCAGCTCGCATCGAATGGTCTGAAATGTGAAAGTGTGCAAAGGTATCAGACACCAACAACCATCGAGTACAGCGCTTTCGGCCTGGAGAGCGTCAAGGCCGTGCTCCGCTTCTCCTGAACTGGGGACTGGGGTGGTTGACATGCTACTAGTAGAAAGGTTACGTTTTCTTCGGCGCCAATTCAAGAGTCTAAGAAGCTTCTGCGACCGCCAGGAGAGACGGTGGCTGGCTCGGCAGAGTGTAAATCTGGGTGCAGCCTGACTGAGCTCAACATGCCCACAGGCCAGGTTACAGGATCTCCAACTCGGCGTTCTGAAGATTCTGAAGTGTCGAAATCTATCAAGACTTGTGACTTATGTACGGATTTAGAAAATCTCGTGGTGCAATCTTTGTCTTCAGCGATTTCCGCAAGCCCTCGAACTTGAGCAGGCCTCGTGGTCGAGGCAGACGGCAGCTTCCTTGTCGCAGACCGTGCAAACGGCCGAGTGCTGCGCTTTCGCGAAGGCGGGGGGGGATCAGGCGGGGGGCGGGAAGGAGCTCCCGTGAGACTCGGAGACCGACAGGCGCAGCCGGCGAGGTGCTGGCGGGCCCGGACCTTCTGGAGCGACCGTGGCTCTGCAGATTTGAGATTGGAGCTTGACTCCTTGGGCTGGGGGCGACTCAATCTTGGCAGGTGGGGTCTGGCTCTTGGTCCGGACGGCTCTGTCTACGTCTCGGACGAGCGACGCGCGGTGGTGTCTCGGCCGTCCTCTGGTCCAAACCAACTGCATCCCAGATTGCCATTGCATCCCCGAGGTGCTGAAGCTTGCAGGGGCCAAGCCCAAGCAGCCCAAAACTGAAGCAGCGCCGCCACAGCCTTCGGGATATCCGCCGCAGATGCCGGCAGAGGAGCCCTCGCGTGGCTACCCTGGCAAGCAGCTCGCCGCTCCTGCCGCTCCGGACGCCAAGCCAGAATGAGACAGTCGCTGCAGAGACACAGAGAGCGAGAGACGAAGTAGACATGTATAGAGACGCTTTGTGCCAGGATCTCGGTATGGGCCTGGACTGAAGGGGCCAGGTCAGGTAGCTAGGTGGAATTCATGGTGCAAATTTGCATCCTTCAAGCAGAGTCTCACGGAGAATTCAGTCTTGCCTCCATAGAGAAATCTCAGCTATCTTGCGATCGGATGGCCGCCCACGGGCATCACACGTGAGTACGCTGCAGACACGATTAATTACAGCTCTTTGTCGATGGACCGACAGCAGGACATCAGTAGCAATCGAGTGGGTATGCCACATCTGTCGTGGCGGTAAGTCACCATTCACTTATCAAAAGCTTTGTCTGCGAGACGGCGAGAGCAGGAACTCCTGGGTACCTACAGTGCTGAGGGCTTTCAGAAGAAGGCTGCAGCATGTTGACGTCCATGCTGTAACCTGAGTCAGAGAGCCCAGCTCTTGGGTCGCTCGATGCATTGCTCTGGAGAGGTGCATGCTGATGCCAAGGCCCGTTCTGTGAGCGGTCGTGGTCGTGTGTGTTGCATCTGGGCGTCTTGGCAGGAGTTGCGCATGTCAGACGCATACACGTGGGAGGCCGTCATGTTCGAGATTCAGCCCTTCCTCAAGCGGCTCAAGAAGACGGCTTTTGCGGTGCACATCTCAGTGGATGCAGTCGTAGCTTTCAACGGCACGAGATTTCAAAGCTTTGGATGCACTTTCTCGCCTCGCCCTCTTCGGCTCAACTGCAGCCGATTTCTGTGCGGCCGGCTGCTGAGTTTCTGGAGGCCGGGCTGGGCGGCTTGGTCCTTGGCCTCGCCTCGCCTTGAGTTTTTACCCCTCCAGGTGCGCATGACCATGAGACGAAGTTCCTTAGGGAAGACTGGCGCGTGGGGACCTCGCTGCGTCGCTTCGGTGCCTGCCACTGCGATTTCTTTTGCCATTTTCCTCAGTCTCGCCTTGGTGCTGGGCGCCGGCTACTTGTTTCTCGATGCCCTGAGCTGCTTCGTGGGAGCGGGAGCCTGACATCACTGAATTCAGACGGGGCAGCTTCGTATGGCCATGTCCAGATGTCCAGCAATCGAGGCCGGCCTGACGAACAACCGATCCCTGCCGCCGGCTTGGTTCTGTTTTCCAGCTTGTGGCTCTGACTCGATGGCGGTTCTGGAGGTCCACCGAGATGAGGGGATACAGTCGCGGCCACGGAGGGAGGGATACAGTCGCGGCGTGAGTTCGCGTAGCCGTTGAAATTCCGCGTCCGAGCTCTAAGGGCTGGACAGGATGCTCGAAGCCTCCGATGGAGACCGATCTTTGCAGACCTCGGACGGGCTCGGAGGGAAACTCCACGGATGTCCATGGTGGAATCGTTGCGAGCTGCGAGCTTGCAGGAAGGCTTCTGGATCGGAGAGAAGGGCTTTGAGAAATCGCAGTGGGCGCAAGGCGCGAGATGAATGGGGGGATTCGGGATTCCACGACATGTCTTTGGGTAGAAGTCATCGAGTCATGGCATGCAGACAGCTCGGTTCTGTCTTGCTCACCTGATGTTGATTGCAAGGCTACCGCTACCGCATGCGAGCCTCTCCGGAGGACTGGCTCAGTCTATGGGCAAGCACGCACCGGAGACAACTAGATCGAGATACCTTCAGAGTGAGATTCATAATATCGTCGTGATGCTTCCGATCAAGTCGACCAAGCTTGCGATGCTCACATGCAAGAGGAGTTCAAGAAAGGCATCGACTGCCCCGCTCCGTGAACATCTCAGTCTGCAGTTTACATCCGAGGAGCTTCCCTCTCTTTCTGCACCTCGCCTCCTGCTCTCATACTCCCACTCTCACTTTTCCTTGCAAGTTTTTGGACAACGGGAGAGGGCTTCTCGCGCGGAATGTAAGCAGATCTGAGGCTCCAGATTGGCCCCATCAAGTGGAAGGTGGGCGAGGCCAGGACACGACGAAGATGACAAGCCACGGACACAGAGAGACGCAAAGAGGAGGCTAGAAGAAGGAACGAGACGGAGGGAGGAGGGCAAGCACCTTTGGTGGATCTCTTCTGCACGCGCGTGTCAGTGCTTCGGCGGGAGTGGCAACAACGACAAGTTGCCTGGGCCTCAATGGAATGTCCATACTCAGCCTCTGGGAGAGCAGATCTTGGGCCAGCGAGGGCTTCTTTCGCTCGAGGCGCCAACTGAAGAAGGAGCTCGCCCAGGCCGCCATGCTTCAGATGTCTTGGGATGAGTCAGGTGCCTTCGCCTCCCACCCCGACACCCCCGAAAGTCGGATGGCTTCAGCCTGCTTCCCAATTGCAAAAGCACGGAAAGCACCTCGTGCTCAACTTCCGGTGGGGAATGCTCGATGCACGACATCACACGACCACGTAGAGACGCCTGAGCGTCGAATGTGGTGATGACAGAAGAGGCGGCACGCTGGCCAGAAAGTCTCGGGGTCTCTGTGCTGGCCTGACACAAGCATTGGCCCTCTGGCAGACAGCTTCCTGTCGCGGGTCCATGCGCCACGATGAAGCCATGACTGAGAAAAACCACTGCAGATCAGAATGAACCTGCGGGAATGAGAGACTGAAGGGAAGAGAGTCGGAAGACACGACGAGGCTGGCCTCGATGATCCCAAGAAGATCGCGGCACTCCGCCAGCACTTAGGTTTACTTCCTTCTCTTCCGGTACGGTCCGCAATTGCAAACCTGGAGAAATGAGGAGAACGAGTACTGGCTCAAGCGCTACGGCCGCAAGCGCTGGTACCCCAAGTACGTCAACCAGTCCGGTGCCAAAGGCCGGGCGGTCGGGCAAAACTTTTTGGCCTTCGAGTTGAAGGGTTTAGGGCGGCACAGGCCAGCAGGGCCTCTTCCGCGGCTTGGCGGCCTGGTCCGGCCCGTGCCTCAACAAAATCGCCCGCCGGATGTGCTGGAGCGCCCAGAGCGGAGGCTACGACCCTCTCAATGAGGAGCGTGGCAAGACTTGGATCGAGGTCCGGAGCCTTCCTTACAAGCCTAGCTGCAGTTCTTGCACCTGCCCTCAGGCTGACTATGGCAAGCCTCTCGTCAAGGGCAAGCAAGACTATCGGTGCCTCGTGCTGTAGCTGTTCTGTCGGAAGCGCCTGCGATGGCAGCAGACAAGACGCAGAAATGGAATGCCGCTCGCATCCACGATGAGACCTGGTGCAGGCTGCCTGGCCTCCTCACCAAAGAGCAGTGCTGCCGTCACGACTTGACTGTCAGTAACACCTGAGATGTGGCCATCCTGCCAGGATGCAGAAGGAGCTCGACAGCGGCAAGCTGCCCAAGCCTGGTGCCTGAGGAGCAGGCGCCGGCCCGTCCATGCCATCTCTGTGTTGCCTTTACGGAGACTGTGCGAGTGCTGCAGGTCGAGACCCGCTGCCGCCTCAGATCTGTCAGACACCAGTTTTCTTATTTCCTTCGGTAGTGGTGTGTGTGTGTGTGTATATGTGTGTGTGTATGCGTGTGTGTGTGTGTGTGTGTGAACTCCTCTCGTACATGAGGTAAGGGATTCACAATCCACACTCGCAGATGTTTTGCCGTTGCCGACAGTTTTATTTCTTTGCAGGGGGGCTGGACATGTGCATTGGTCGCCAGCCCAACGAAGAGGGCCTTTGCACATGCTGATATTCTCGGGAGACGTCCTGAGAACGTACCTGCATCCGGATTCGCCAGTGGGCCCCCTGTGGCACTGGAGTAACCAACACTAGAGTGAATGCCTGAATTGTTGCCGCAATCTGACATGCATGATGGCCCGACCCCATGTTTGATCACACACCGTAATGGAACAGCCTGTGCACCAACAGCTAGCGTATGTACTTCAGGTACATCTGTCCGCGAGTGCAGAAAACACTTTTCTAAGTGTGTTACAACGGCTTTCCGTCACGGCGCCGTGGTGGTCTCATTCTGAGGCAGTCCTCGTGCATGGGGATCCGTTCTTTCTCCTTTAGTGGAGACTTCGACTCTCTCTGTCTTGTCGACTCTCTTTCATCATGTATTCATGTGGGCTCGATAAGGCTCAAGGTACCGTTCAGTTTTCGTTCAAGCCACTCCTGCCTATCAGTCGGGCGGGACATGAGTGTCTGAGTGCGCACAGGTCTGCATGCGCTTCTGATCGATGGCCTCCGCCGACTATTTCCTGCACTATTTTTCCTCCCCTCTATTCGGTCTCTGCGCAGTTCTGCATATGTGCTGTCATGAGTGCTAATGCATTAGGGTAAAGGCCCCGCCATGTTTTTCGCACTGTGACCGGACTCTAGCTGCAGTGCACAAGCTTCGGTGTGTGTTACTAACGCTCATGATGCAGTTTCACCCCATGGCACAACCTTTCACCCCATGGCACAACCTCCGGTGCAAGTCCCTACGAGCACCGGGACATTGCCTTATATGCAGACACAATCGGCACCAGCCGCGCCTCAAGCATGGAGCAATCCGGCAACACTTCCGGCAAACGCTTCAGCAACGATGTCAGCACCAGCCGTTGCGTCGCAACAATCGTTGCCGACAGCAACCTTTTCTGCACAATCTCCAGTGTATCATCCAGCAGCACCCTGGACGCACGGGTACACATCCGCTGCACCCACGCAACAACAGTCGCACATCCAGCAGCCACCACTTCAGCAACCACAACCTCATCAGCCTCAATTTCAGCAAACACATGTACAGCTTCCTGTGGCTCAACCAGTGCCACTCACACCCAGTGCACCACCCTTCGCATCTACCACGACTGCCTCGGATGTGCAACAGACCTACCCACCATTCTCTGTTGCCAACAACACAATGACGATTCCCAGCTTTCCACAGCAGTCTGCTTGCAACCCGATTCCTCAGCCACAGCCACAACACCCACCACCTCCCACATCACCACAATACCATTTCGACGCCACAACACTTCTTTTGCAAACCCCCACATATTCCACAACCCCCACCTTTGCAACCTCGCCCCAACCACCTTTACAGCCTGCCCCTGCTCCCTATCAACATGGTACACAGCCACCTTTCGCATACCCGGGAACGACAACTCAGCAGGCAAACAATCCCCCTGCGACACACAACCCTGTTCCCGCAGGCGTTACTGGTCCTGTGGCACCGTACAATTACATCACACCGTCACACCCACCACCGACTTACCGTCTACCCCCCAACTTTGTGCAGCCAACCATTACACCCACAACCCAAACAATCACCACGCCCGGCCCCACACAAGCTCCCACCCCAACTACTGCCAAACAGCATCAGAGCCCACCACGCACACATCGCTCACGTACTCCACTATCCAGACGCCGCCGGGCCAACAGGTCCAGGCAACGCAGGTCACCGGCGCAAGGACGCACCAAAGGCTCAACTCGACGACATTCAGCATGCCGGAGGCGCCGCCCCCGGCGCAACCATAGCAGATCCCGATCCACACCCAGCCGGTCTTACTCCCCCCTCCATCCGCACCAGAAGAAGGCGAGACTCTCGGAGAAGGACACCAAGTTCTAGCAGCAGTTCTTCGCCACCGCCGCTGAAGAGGCGGTCTCCGACACCACGGATCAGACTGCAGCCTGCAACCATTCTTCGTCAGCAGTTTCAGAGGGTCGCCCTTACAATGGGCCCAACAAGCACAAGACCACGTCGCATCCCACCTCCACCACCCCTTCCACAAACTCCAGAAACACTACCAAAGCAACCTTCCCACCGACATTCCGGCAACTCCGACCCCACACATGGCAGCAGCTCGCGGCAGCCTTTCAACGTTTTCTCAAGCCCTTTGTCTCACTGCATTGACGTACGCCCTGCAGCTGAAGTGCCACACGACCAGAGACCAAAACTCATCAGCTACGGTATTCAAGATGCCGAGCAGTGGATTGAGAGGGTCCGAGAGGTCAGTGGTGATGCAGCTGTCGATGGTTTTACTCGCGACCAATTGGTCGCACTATCACAGATGCTGCATGCAGCAGGGCATGTTCCCAACGACCGAGGCATCCAGGCAATTCGGTGGGTAGAGATAGACAGTCTCTACCCCGCCCTCCTCATTTCATTGCACGACCCCGACCTCTTCGAAGGGAGCACCGTGCCTTTCCAAGCTCCGCCACCATTTGGAGTTACGGCTTCCGAGTGGCAGACCAATCCACCGGCGGTGACCTACTATACGTTTGTTCACGGAACATCCTTTCAAGCCGGTGCTGAAATCCTCCGTGAGGGCATTTTGGGACCTACAGCCCTTCCTCGAAATTCAAGGGCCACACCATCGGTGGTTTACGGGTCGGCGACCCCGGGGGAGATATCGGATTATACGTTGCAGGTCGCAACGGCACAATTGCTGAAACGACCGAAAGGTCGTAATGACATTATTCTGCTTTGTTCACTGGCCACCACCGAGGCACACTACAAATCAAGCTGGTCATGCTTGACCGACGAAGCGCACGTGTGCCGACGCCGAGGCATCCTGCGGAACAGTGACAGGTGGGGAGCCCATCCTGGACACCTTCACGTGCAGGGTTTGCTGATGGTGGGTCACAACCGGTGACCATTGCTCGCAGACAAAACAGTGCCCTTACATATGCGCTGCACTGCACAAGCACCTTTGCAAGTTTCACAGTGGTGATTCGTGCGGCTTCCTTTTTTGCGTTTTACTACACCTGACTTGCAGGCCCATGGCTTCCGACGACGAATCGTCTTGGCACTCAGGCATGGCCGTTCTTGAGCAGCAAAGCACTTCCCGATCAGCAGGCTCTTCTGCACAGATCACCGAGGTACCAGCAACAGCCACAGACCCTTCGCACCAGAAGACTACCAAGGGCAAGTCCAAAAAGAAGCATAAGTCAAGCGAAACACCGAAAAAGACCAAAAAGACCAAAAAGAGCACAAAGTGCAAAAGAAAAGCAAAAGCCCGCCGCAGCAGCACATGCAGCGGATCGTCTAGCGACTCCGCATACATTAACCAAGACCTCCACCTTCAACTTTACAACTACCACACCAACAACTCCACAAGCCACGCAACATCGACCTCTACTTCGGCGCAAACAGGCGTGGCACCCAGATCCAGAGCTTGCGCTAAGATGTTGGTTAGAGCTGGACACCGTTGCCCCTGCCATTTCCTGAGAGAGTGCCCGTCTGTTATTTTCCAACAACCTGTTACTCTACAGTTTCACCCTGCAACTAACTGAGACCAATGCAGTGAACCTACGCACATGCAAAACAGCTCCTGAGGCGCAGTTGCACAACTTGAGGTCGCCAAATTTGCTTGTCCGACTCTTTACATGTTTGCCTCTGTCAGTCTTGCCGGCTTCAGGAACGCAGGTAGCAGGATTTTACATAAGATGCAGCGAACACCACCCCCACCACCACCGGGGCTCCGCGGCACATACAGAGTGCCCACTGGCATTTTGACAAGAGCAGCACATTCCCATCAAGTGCCACCATCCGCTGCAGCACCGCTGCCCCAGCGAGGGGCACCCCATCATACCCAGCCGACAGCACAGTTTACCCCACAACCATGCTTCCCCACTCAACCACCATTGTTCAACCCCACTACACACCGCCGCGCCAGCCCTGCTCCTCCATCTCACCATTTCATTCCACATTCCTTCGCCGCTCCATCTCTCCCAAACGATTTTGCGCCCCCCGAGCATACCATGATTGCAGGGTCATATACGGGTACGACTTACCCAAAGCAGTCAAAGCAACCACACACACTCAAAAACTGGGCATAGCAGGATGCCCAATCGAGACGGTCCCTCTCTTAGCCGTGATTCGTCATTCCTGGTCCTCGTATTGGCTCCGATACCTGTGTCATGGACACGAAGTATATCCAGTGTTCACCAAACACATTTCGCACGCAATGTTAGCTACGGAGCTCTTTTCCAGACTCAATCACAACAAGATCGACCTCGACACCGTAGCATTGGCGCACTGCCAAGGAGCGATTCCACCCATCTCTAACCCCGCCAAGAAGCAAGCATTGGCAGCCCTTGCTGACGAATTCTATGAGTACATGAGCGGACTCATCCATGAGACACCTTCTCAGAACACAGCCTCCACAGACGCGCAATCCAACCAGAGAATTTTACAGCTCGAACAACAACTTGCCACCGCGCAAGCGCAGCTAGCTGCATCAAGTGGCAGCCAAGGCGCGCCTGCCACACCAACCAAAAAGCGCCCACCCCCATCCCCGTCACCCACAATCAGCAGCACCCCGCCGACAAACCATAGCACTACGACTGCAGCTCTTCCCGTCGCCCCCTCTCAAGCCACTTCTCCCGACAGCCCCATCCCCAATCCAGACACAATCAACGCACCCAACCCCATTCCTACAACAGTCACTACACCCAGCCCCAAACCTGCGAAACCCATTGCAGTCGAAGACAGCCCCCTCTCGGCTATTAAGCGCAGAAAGGTACAAACAACCTTACCAGGGGCACCCGCCAAGCCGGCGAAACCTGACATTTTTGCAGAGCCTTCGGGCACATCACAATGGTTCTCGCAGAACTACACCGGTGCCCATTCCGATGCTGGCATCCAACGGTGGATCGGTTCGCTCCGCATCTCGGACCCTAAAAAACAGGAGGTCCGAACCAACATCCAGGAGCTGCTCAAGCAATACCCCAGCCTGACTGATCAGCAAACAGAACAACTGCAGAAAAACGCTGAAGCCTGGGGTTTACCGCAGCAACATATTCGCAAGTTGCAGGCCAACCAAATCAGCATCCTCAGTGTGATTGCTTATTTTACTGAGTGACTCATCACTCAGGCTGCAAAGCACAATCCACAACAGCAGTTTTGTCAACGCACCACTCACCTTACCAATTCCATTTCCACCCTATCACATCTTCTCCCCGAAGCCGAATCCTCCTCCACCAAAGCACACGCCATCACTTTGTGGCTAGCAGGTAGATGCATCCTGCTCCATGCTCTTCACTACCGCACACCTCAGCAGCGTGGTCACTTACAGACCATCCGATGTTTATGCCAACGAACACAGCTACACTACTCCACCTACACTTACCATCACTTCCAAACCACCGGCGTAGTGTACGCCAGAGTCACCGTATCCCGCCGACGCCACAGATTCATTTACATCGGATGCACACATAACACCATGCAAAACCGCGAAAGCAACCGCAAGTGCAAATTCCGCCAACTCACCAAAGACGCCATCGTTGATGCAGAGCTATCCTTGCGATGGTGGCGACAACACCAAAACTACCACCAGTTCATCCCCCTCGTCATACAGTACAACGTGCCACACGATTACTTGGAAGCCCAAGAACAAACCTTTATTCAGCATTTTCAACCAAAACTCAACTACCCACACATTGCCCCGTACATGAAAAGAGCATTTCGGGGCATCACACAACCAGCGCGCCACAAAATACAGCAAAGAGCAGGCGTTGCGTCCATTTGGACCAAACTCCGAAGACGACACCTACCACCAACCCTTCGACCACTCCACAGGTCCCGGACCTTTCAACGCCAAACCCAAGTTTGGCACACTATTTGCAATCTAGCGTCCAACACCAAAAGACGCCTTGAGTCCACCAAAGAACTCATGAGGCGACACACTCCTTCAGCCCAGCTATACGCTTATCATCGCATTGCTCGCAAGTTGCCCACCACACACCAGCGACCTGCCACAAAAGCTATAGCTACAGCCATGCGCAAACGATCACTACCTGTTCCCAAAGCACGCAGACCAGCCACTTTACCATACCTCGCACACCCATCGCAAACCACCACAACCCGAACATTTTTACGCCATCAGATCACCTTACACCGCCAGCACACCCTACCTTTACACCCCCCCACCACCACTGTCGTCTTCGCACGACACCCACGGGTACAAGATCACATTCACAACTGGCGACAGGTCCACCGACATTGGAAACCAGATCAACCGCCCCAGTGCACTTGCCAGCACCTCCAACGAGCACACCCCACCCACCTTCACAATGGCCATATTGCCATCCCTCTCTTTACTCTTGTCCCACAACACCACTTTCTCAGATACTCTGGCAGAAGCACCTTCTTTCTGCCGGCAAAGCAGCTCCGCCGGGACCTTTTTGCAGCGATTCAGAGGTGGCACAAAACACACCACCTCCCAATAACCACCGAACAAAACACAACTGTCACTACCTTCATTGAGCAGCAGATGCAACTTCACGATCACCACCTCAGCAGCAGACTCAACTTCCATGTTGTCAGCAACGCCCGACGCTGCATTCCCAACGGCGTCATTCACAGCGAAGACCACCTTCCCAACAAACTCATGTGGTACTGTCCACACCTTTACCACACTGCTATCACCAACACCTTCCTCGACAAAGAGGTCTTCCACGTTATTGATTTACCTCCACTACACCACCATTTCAACACCTACACCCAAACACAACACCTACTTCCAAAGTACAAGTGGGCCCTGCAACAATGGGGCAAAATTCCAATCGCATACATTCTGCCAAAGCGGACAAAGTCCTTCACAAAAGGACGTCCAATCGTGTCGTTCGTCGGAGCCATGCTTCGCTCACTTACAGGCGATTTGGCTGATGTGATTTATTTGATGCTCCGACAGGCCTGTCCCGACGCCCTCGGCAGAGGCGACACGTTACAGCAACTACAATCCCTTCGACAAGCATTCCAGGCCCCCCACAGCAACCCCACAGACGAACAATTCCCTCTCCGCATTTCCAATCAAGACCTTTCTGGGTTTTTCACCAGCATCTCCACAGACCGCTTTCTGGCCAGTTTGCACCTGATGATTCACTGGTACAAGAACAAGAGTGTCAAGCATGCCACAACATTCACCAGCACCCATCATGAGCCCGATCCCGCCATGCGGGTACACCGAGGACGCTCACGCTTCCAAAAGCCTGGACGCCACACCATCCACCTTAGCCACCTCCCTGAATTGTCAAGTGGTCTTGCTCCTCAACTACTGCATGGTGGGCAACACCTTGTTGCAGCAAACCCGCGGAGCACCCATATGGGATCCCCAGCGAGCCCAGCACGTTGCGATATGGTGGTAGCCGTGTGCGAGCAATCATGGACTCACACCTTCCGCAACATTACTTACAACGTCAAGCATTGCAATGCAAAACATTTTACGTTCAGTGGTTTCTTTGCCACCAGGTACGTCGACAACAGACTTACCCTCCTTCCTACCTGCGCCACACACCTTCCCCATTTCTCCCAATTCCTTTCACCCCACTTCTACGGAGCTCCCATCTTTCTTGAGACTGAACCCGGTCTCGATTTCCTCGGCTTTACCATCGACCCCTCCCAACACACCGTTCACTACAAAGCTACATCCAACCTCACCGACATCCTATCACCACAGTCAGCATCACCCGACATTGTGCTACGCAGCAGCTTCAGCCACACCCCGAGAAGCAGTTGCTCACGCCATGGAGCAGCTCTCTGAGGTTTACAAAACCGCCGGCTACGACCAAAGCTGGATTCAGCATCTGCGCAAAGAATCAGCATGCGTTTGCCGGGGCTTGACCTCACTTACTTCTAATCTTGACAGCACATACGTTTGTGACAGATATGGTATGCAGCCGTTTTCTCTTACAGCATCAAGGTAACATGCGTCACAGCAGGGGCAGACTTCAACCCCTGCACAAGCTAATGCCGCGACCATCAGAGCCCAAACCACGTCGACAACGAAGACACCGTTCTCGTTCGCCACCTCAGACCCTATATGCGGCTGAGGCTTCTCAGCCGTCTGTTCTACGCAATCAACTTCTTCGAGTGGCAAAAGAGCAGGACCCAGTGGAGAACGACGGCAATGTTCATCAAGAAGATGGTACAGAGGGAGTGCCACCACCAACGACTCCCCCGCATCCACCACCTGAGCATCAGCAGCTCCCTGCGTGCGACAATACCTTGTTTTTCCAGCGCCTTGATGCGCTACAGCAAGCTTTAATCGATTCTAATGCCAAAGCAGATGCTTTATTGCACACAACGAACACGCTTTTGGCTACCCAACACGAAGCCAGTGCCGCGCTATTGGCCAGCTGTAAACAGCAGCTCGATATCATAGTGGATTTGCTTCGCGCGGAGCAAGCCGGCCGCTCCGACGTTGACTGGTCTTAGTACGTACAGCTGAATCGTGGTCTGTCTGGTTTTGACAACACTGGCAGCATCAGCATAAAAGCCCGTTGTGAACTGATTCTTCTGATCCTATTAACGTTCCGCACAGTTAGTTTTCACATGCACTTTCATGCGTCATTCATGTGCAGGTGTTTTACGGCTCTGCAACCGCAGTTTATTCAACTAGCATCGTATCATGACGGAGACTCCTTCAGGTCCACCGCGCTCTGTACAAGGAATCTCAACTCAACATGCTTCCGACGCCAGTCTGCCGACCGACAGTGAGGCCAGACGCACAGTTCTGAGCCATGCGCTTCTCCAGGTATTGACCGAAAGAAGGGAGCACGCAGAAGATTCGGAGAGTATTGTTAGCAGCCTCTCCGACTCGGAATTCCGTGATCGACTCGCAGACTTCATAGAGATGTCCAACAGAGAGATCAACGATTTGAAGGACCGCGTGTCCCGTTTGGAAACACTCATAAGCCAGTGAGTATTCACATCAAAAGCCTGCGCCACAGAGACCCAAAACAATGCATTGAATCACAGCACCGCTGCTTGTTGATAATGCAAGCTCCTTCTCATTGTACATTGTTCATCGCAGCCGTTTTATTCTCTCTCCGCTGTGCATTCATCATGCCTCGAACCCCGCGCTCCAGATCCCCCATTGGGTCAGCATGGCGTTGGCACTGGTCGTGCGACCAGGAAGGCCGATGGTCTCGCATTTGGTTTAGAGCCACTCGTTCCTGGCTCAATTCAGTTTGCGACGGCAGCACTACGACCTCATCACAGCCGGTGGAACAACCCAACACGACTCTGCAGCCCACAGGAAGTGCAGGCAGTTCTTCACCTACGAAGCGCAAACGATCTCGCACTCCGTGAGCCAGATCAATTCACTATGCATGCCTTGCCGATCTTATCGGCCGCAATATTCGCATCTCGCCGCAACATGTCACAAAACAGTCTGAGTGCAGCATGTGATTTGCATTGCATCGTCTAGTATTACTCTGGTTTTGCACATCCGCAGCCATTTCAGCGATTCTTCCGTTGTGCAGCACCGAACATCCAGCAACATGCAGCCTGCCACACGGGTAAGCGCTGCCAGGTTCCTTAACATTCAGCTTTTGCCTCGGGCATACCAAGGCAAAAAAACGTGCACCCGAAGTGCACCAGCCACAGCTGTTGACTATTGATCAGCTCTTCTTGATCAATCGCACATTGCAGGACCTTGAACATTTGCCTCCAGAACACCCGGCGAACACTACGCCAGCCCGAGAGGCCAAAGCTGAGGACTACAGCAGCGTTCCTCACATGTTCCAGCAAGGACATCAGGTACGCATCCACAAACCCAGATTGTTTAGGCGGTTCCCACTTAAGAAGCCTCCTCCTTTGGGTGGCTCTAGCTCATCGCAGCCTCAACCGCGATGATCAGTCTCACTTGCGGACATTTTGCACAGGAACGTCACCGCATCTGATAAAAAAGTCTTTTCTGATCCTGCAAGTCCATTTGTTTTGCAGGGGTTTCCTCTTTGCAGGGATTTTGCAAGGGTCATGTTTCATTTGGCTGTTGCTTCTTTTCGGATCTAAAGGATTGCCACGGGCCCTGCCAGCAACATTCAACCTCCGGACAGGGTCACAAATTCTCGCATCTACAATTACATGTTGTCCTTTGTCTTAGTGACTCCCGTGCTGCAGGCTCGCAAGATTTTCACATATCGGCTGAAGGAAATCACGGGCAGGGTGCCAGAGCTACAAGCATTCTTCTTGGAGCAAGGCAGACGTCGACTGTGCGACCTCGACCCGGTGACCACTATGAATACACTGCAGCCAGTTCATTTTGTACGCGTAGCTTCGGACAGTGACTTCAGACAGCGCAGGTTAAAAAAGGTTGGCGACCACGTAGGGCGACCTCAACTCAGATACAAAACCGTTACAAAGCAGTTTACAGTCATTCAGGCTGCACGCGCCCCAACTTGGGGCGACGTGTGTGTGAACTCCCCTCGTACATGAGGTAAGGGACTCAATCCACACTCGCAGATGTTTTGCCGTTGCCGACAGTTTTATTTCTTTGCAGGGGGGCTGGACATGTGCATTGGTCGCCAGCCCAACGAAGAGGGCCTTTGCACATGCTGATATTCTCGGGAGACGTCCTGAGAGCGTACCTGCATCCGGATTAGCCAGTGGGCCCCCTGTGGCACTGGAGTAACCAACACTAGAGTGAATGCCTGCATTGTTGCCGCAATCTGACATGCATAATGTTGATCACACACCGTAGTGGAACAGCCTGTGCACCAACAGCTAGCGTATGTACTTCAGGTACATCTGTCCGCGAGTGCAGAAAACACTTTTCTAAGTGTGTGTGTATGCGTGTGTGTGTGTGCGCGCGTCCGTTTGTTGGTGGCACGTTTGCAAAACAGCAGAACACAGAGGCACCACCTGACACCAACGGAGATGTCTGGCATGTAATTTTCTCACATTCGTGCAACGCAAGAGACTGCAACATTTCCAGATGCATCTCCGGCACACCAAGGCGGCACACCAAGGGTGCGTGATGTAATTTCAAGTCAAGCCAAGCAGCACGGCATCGTTTCTCCACACGGGCTGGGACAAGTCGGAACAAGTGTTTCCTGGGTAGGAACACAGCCTGCACAAACGATCCTCATTTAGGTGAGCCTCACTTCTGAAGTGCCTCGGCCAAGGTGCGCTGCAACATTTTTTGGGGAAAGGGCTGAGCTGGCGACTGCAGCCTTGCGTGGAGTGAGCGGCTGCCTACACAGCCGAGCTGTGACTTGCACTCGCAGCTTCGAGAGATCGACATGTTATTGCCTTTGTGCTACTCGCATGTTATTCCGTGTCGTCAACGCAAGCTAAGCAGACGGGTGCAACGTGTCCATAGTTCCAGGTCTTTGGTTGGACCTGAGGAGACCTGCGCCAAGGTGGAGGTGTCCCCAAAATTCTTTGAGGTTCAATTTTTCACCAAAGCACGCCGGGCTCCCCGAGACGTTCGAAGCGGCCATCGGCAATCTGCAGACAAAAGAAAGGGGAGAGCGATTCGTCGCGACTCAGTTGTCAGAGGAACGTTCTGTCGCGTGACGGCCATTTGACGGCGAGGTGCAGGAGCCAGTTCTCTCGAAGTGGGGCTTCGATCCGTCAGAGGAGGGTTTGGCCGAGGCTTCCCTGGTGCAAGACTTGCAAGTAGAATCATGAATCATGAGAGCTTGTGGCATGTCGGTCTGCAGCCGATGTGGTCCGCGTTAAGGGACGCTTGCACGTTGCTGTCAGATGATGGTGTGCCTCAGCGACCACACCCTTCGAGACCAAGCGCTTCGGTCTGGGCCTTGAAGTCGGTCTCGCCCATCAAGAAGCCGACTAAATCCTCTGTTGGACTGGGCCAAGGAAGCTGGCAGACGAGACCACGAAGATGCTGT